AAAACTCTTTACTAAAACTAAAACTAAAAGGCTAATACTCAACGAATACGTACATTGGCTAAGACATTCAAAAGGTTGAGTCCAAAAGGAGTATGATACCGAGGTTTTACTGTGTGTTATAATATCCCATGTGACAACATTAAGTCGGTCAGACTCGTCATGATCCCGATCATTGCATCCAAGACTTGTATGTTCTCCTCCACTGTCAACAAAGCGTCATGTAGATGGTTAGTGGTTGCTCTGGTATGGTTTAATCCTTCTTTCCTATCAAATATCTATCGTCCTTATCTCTCCTCCTTCTTTTTTTTGTATGTTACTCTCTAGTAGCACCTCTAATCTGCGGCACTTATATTATGATGTATTTGTGTTGCAAGCGCCGTAAAACTCTTACTAATACTAAAGATTGTCCCAACTGTCAATGCGTCCAACCAACACGTTGCTGCTGCAAGTCTCCCATTCTCATTCTTATTTCATGTGCTCATGATGTACAATATAATTATTATTATTATGACGTTACTATGACGTGGTTTGATTTGCCAAATAAAATCATCAGTCACTCAGAACTGTATGTGTTTGTGTGTATTTTTATTTTTTTGAGGTAAGTGGTGTGTTTTTTCATATTTTTCCCCCTTGGTATTGTCAGCGTTATACGCAATGTGTACTGCCACAGTCAACCGGTGTCTGTTGTGTGGCGGTTTAGGCACTATGCTGTCACATGCAGGCTTCATGAGTTCCAATTCCTGAATAGGGGAAAAGTTTTATCGAGTGTCTCCGTCTTTCTGTTGGGATGTTGTATCTCTCTCAGTCTGGGTTGGCCCGACTGGCAGAATACCTCCTGAATGATCTTGGGTACCAGAAACTAAATTTTCAAAGTAGCCAAATTTATCTGTTCTATATGAAAGGCCTATATATCTATGTCTCCTGGGAATGTTGGTACCATTCTTTAACCTCTCAGTCCATTTGATAAAACATGGTCGCTGTTTTAAATATGATCAAACATTGCTAAAGTCACTAAAATGATCTAAATGGTGTTGACTGGGGCGTTAGTTATAATACCAACATTTAAAAAAGGAAAAGAATGTTTCTACCAGTGGCGACGAACATCATTTCACAAAGACTACAACAACACTCTTGAGCTTCTTAGTCAATAGAAACAGTAATTTAATACGACAGGCATCTGGATTATAGGCAACACAATCCTACGAATAGTTTAATGTATGGTTCACAACATTTCAAAAGTTTCAACGATTGTTCAGTGCAAAAAAAAATTATAATAGTTTTTGATAGAATTACTAATGCATATAATATATATGTATGTATGCCAAGATGCGTGCCGACGACAAAAAATCACCGAAAGCCGTACCATTATCATGACGTTATTCGACTTTGAAATAAATTCAGTTCTTTAGATTCTCTGTATGGGTGGTTGGCAGGTGCTCTGGTGTGGTTTTGCTCAGGTTCTTTCCTATCACAAATATCGTATCGTCCTAAACTCCCCTCCTTTTTTATGTTACTTTCTACTAACATCTGTTTTTCGGCACTTATGTGACCTTATTGTGTTGCAGGTGCCGTAAAACTTTTCCTAAAACTTTTTTTAATTCTCTGTGGGAGTTCAGTGTGAAACGACGTAACAGTGCGTGAATTAGGTGGAACCGTTCAACTCCGACAAACCTTGTTGTCTGCACATCGTAACAAAGCGTTTATAGTTTCCCTTGAGCATTTTAGTCAAAACGATTCGATTTGAGCAAACTACAACAATTAACTGACAACACACTTATCATTTTCAGAGAGAGCAACACGTTTCACTCACTCGTATTTTAGCAGAACATGCTCTCGAAAAACCCCCCAACCAAAACGCATGATCAATCTGTACATTTAAAGTAATGGCGAGAAATAAGTCAAACGGTAGAGTACACCAAAAAAAACAACCACGAACTGGAATGCAACGAGAAATAAAATTGCAAATTGTTCTAAGGTCCTATCAAATATTCTCTAGCTAGGCAACTAGTAGTAGAGAATCCTTGGTCCTGTTGGTGCACCTCAAGGAGGTTATAAATAGTTTATTCTAAGGTCCTCGATACACTTGCATTCAAAACAAAGGGAACGTCATTCAGCACATAAATATACATGATGACTGTTACTATAGGTGTATAATGAAAGCAACTTATTATGTTTGAGAAAACTTGTAACGTGATCATTCTGCTGTCGGCTCCCTGTAACATTTGCAAAGTATTCGTAAGATTTAAGATAAATTATTTTTTTAATGAGGATAAAACATTATAATGAGACCTCAAACAGATGTTCTTCTGCTTATAGCTGCCTTGAGTAAGTTGTTCAAAGTGAGTGCGAAGACAAATCTACTTATATTTTCATGCGAGGAGGAAATGCGCGTCTCTCTCTCTCTCTCTCTCTCTCTCTCTCTCTCTCTCTCTCTCTCTCTCTCTCTCTCTCGTCTTGTCTTTATCTTTACTGGGGTTTTGGTTTTGTTTGTTTGTTGTTGGTTGTTTTTTGTTGTTGTTGTTGTTGGGGGAGGGGTTGGGGGGTGTCAAGGTGACCTGGCATTAGTTTTGTTTGGAAAAAGTAAGACAGAAAACAATAGATAAACAGAAAATAAGAATTTAGAATTTAGGACCTACCAGTAGAGCTCCCCTCGCAACCACCGGCTCTGAAATCAGTGTATGCACAGACAAAGTCATTGCCACTTTCAGACAGAAGGAGAAAGATCAAAGACAACCATCGATTACAGGACGATTTTAAAAGACAAATTAAAATAGCAATCAAACTAGGACGGATTCATTGTCCGAGATAGATATGTATCTTCCATCGGCAACTTTCACTCAAATATAACTTTAGAGATCATGCTTATACATAGTCTATCTCATAGGGCATGTCGATGTCAAGTCACTTTTGATACATGTTTGAAAAGTCAAAAGAGATGTACACACCCACGTGTGTGTTTGTGTGTGTGAAGAGAGATGCATATTATTATGAATGTTTGTAAGTAGTTTCTTTGAGTCCTTTCACATGTGTGAGTGCATGTGTGTGTGCGTGTGTGTGTGTGTGTGTGTGTGTGCGTGTGCATGTGTGTGTGTGCGTGTGTGTGTGTGTGTGTG